TCAAGTTGGAAAATTCTTTTTCAAGTTCTGAAATCCAATTAGAAGATTTTCTTGTGTGCTTAGTGGAAAATCGAGCGGCCCCACATAAACAATCTGTTATTCGGCCGCAATCGAGTCTGTTTTAATTAAAAACAAATTATTCTAGGGCTAAATACGTGACAGCAGAACAGACTCCGAGCTGAAAAAGGTTCTAACAAGGCCCAATTTCGAGGAAAATTAAATATTAATTACAGCTTTTTGTATACATTTTAAATCAAAAGGTAGAAAAGTGTGGATAATTAAAACAGAGGCAATTAAATGGTATTTCAATTGCCCGACGTGATCAGTGGCGGCTCGTCAGAGGAGGCAGGGGAGGCTAAACCTCCTCCAAAAAATTGAAAATTCAATCTCAATTTTCGATATTTCAATGTAATTTAGAAAAATGTGACAACATTATTTCAATCAATCCCGCGGCTCCACGACAAATATCTGTGAATATGGGATACTCAGTAATACCGGCCCGAAGGGCCGGAGTTATATGCGAGCCCGAAGGGCCGGAGTTATATGCGAGCCCGAAGGGCCGGAGTTATATGCGAGCCCGAAGGGCCGGAGTTATATGCGAGCCCGAAGGGCCGGAGTTATATGCGAGCCCGAAGGGCCGGAGTTATATGCGAGCCCGAAGGGCCGGAGTTATATGCGAGCCCGAAGGGCCGGAGTTATATGCGAGCCCGAAGGGCCGGAGTTATATGCGAGCCCGAAGGGCCGGAGTTATATGCGAGCCCGAAGGGCCGGAGTTATATGCGAGCCCGAAGGGCCGGAGTAATACGAGCCCGAACGGCTAGAGTTATTTTAATCACGGGGCCTAGTTTATAATTCTATTGGTCAGCGGATAATTTGGAGCCAATCAAAAACCGGGAGTATTTAAAATGCGATTTTTAGCGTCCGATCAAAGAGTCGAGAATATTCAAAAACTTTAGTTTTATCAAATTGGCTTTGGAATGTTGGTTTTCTTAAGATTTTTACATTTTTCAGAAAACGGTGGTTTTTGCAAACATATACTGCTTTATCATTGTCTTTGTCTTACTCACTATAATCAATAAGGAAACTTTGTAATGTCATTTTCATTAAAATTAAACTAAAAACAAGTTTCCTATGATTTATTTGGGGAATTTTAATTATTATAATCATTATTAATTAATTATTAAATTGAATTTTAAACAAAAAACCCTTTCAAAATGTTATTTATGTTTTCCGAAATGAGATGTGGCAACGTTGCTTTTAGTTGGCCATTTTGAAGTGACGCCTTGTAATTTTTTGCCAGTTTTTCCTTGAATTTTTCACTTTTCTAAGGCTTTTCAATGGAAAAAGGCAATTTAATATACGAGGCTTTGAGTTTTCTTTATTTTCTAGCAAAAATATCCAGTTTTAAAATGACATAAATAACAAAATCCCATTTAAAATGGTTTTTTTAAAAGTTTTGATGTGGCAACACCGTTTGTACCAACTTCAAATAGGTTTTGTAATAAATGTCATTTGCCAGTTTTGACAGTCGGTAATTTTTAATTGACGTGTTCACATTTCTATCCAGTTTTTCCTCGAATTTTCCGCTTTTCCAAGCCGTTTTCAGTCAAGAAAACCGATTTGAAATACGAAGCTTTGAATTTCCTACATTTTGTGCTAAAAATTCCCAGTTTTCCAATGGGGTAAGTGACAAAAACTAAAATTTCATTAAGTAGGCTTTGGAATGTCATTTTTAGAGGTTTTTCTTTGAATATGTCCGCTTTTCCAGGGCTTTTCTGGTCGGAAAAACCGATTTAAAGTACGCGACTTTGAGTTTTCTTCATTTTCCACCAAAAATTTCCAGTGTTTTAACGAAGTAAGTGAGAAAAACTTTAGTTTTATCAAGTAGGTTTTGGAATGTCATTTTCGTTGGTTTTTTTTTTTGGAATTTTTATTTAAGGTTTTTGGGGTCCGGGGATCGTTTTCTATCACTTTTTTTCTCGAAATTCGCAAAATAAAAAAAAAACTTTTTTGACGTTAACAGCTGTCAATTTTTTTTTGACACAAATCGATAGTTAGCGTCGCGAAACTGGCTTGCACCGGGGTTTGATTTTCGTAGCTTTTATAGTAGAGTGGAGAAAAAGTCGAACATGTGTCAAATTTGACAGATGACATTTGTCGATATTGCCAAAGTGTCGTGCGACAAAAGTTTTATCCGAACGAACCCGTTCATTGTTAACTGATTTTTCATACTCCGGCCCTTCGGGCCGTAATCTTTGGAACAAAAAGACGTCATTTTGTACCGATGGTCAAAAAAACTAAAGGTTTGAAATTTAATTTTTTGACGTTTGTTGTATCATGAGCAGTGTTGCCATATGTTTTTTTTTTTCAAATCTCGAGCTCGAAGGGTCGAAATTATAGATTATTTTAAAGCCAATCAAGAGCCGGGAATAAACAAAATTCGAATCCCCAAACCAATCAGGAGCCGGGAAAATTCAAAAATTCGAATTCCAAACCCGACGGGAAATTGAATTTTTTATACCAACTGTTGCTACATATTGTTACATAAATCTCACCCTAAAACCCACTGAAAAACGACCTTTGTTTTTTGGAAAAAACAAAATAATTTTTTTTTGAGATTGACAGCTGTCAAAATTTTAATGGGCATATAGAATTAAACTCGGCGAATACGTAGGAAGTACCAATTTTTTTTTTTAACATATGTCAAAAAAGACGTTCGGCGTTGCCAGGCGGTTGGTTTTTGACATGAAACTTCTTATTTTAGGGTTTTCGGAGCCTGGGAATCGTTTTCTGACATTTGTTTTTCGAAAAAAAGAAAAGGTAAACATTTTTGACATTGACAGTCAAAATTAAAAAAAAAACCTACATGGGCATATAGATTTAGCCTCGGCGAATACGTAAAAAGTAGCCAAACAGGGCCAATTTTTTGACGTTTGTTGTATTATAAGCAGTGTTGCCATATGTTTTTTTTCGAATCTCGATTCTGGAAGGCTGAAGTTATCTCAATTATGAGCTCAAAGGGCTGAGGTTATACGAGTCCGAAGGGCCGGAATCATGCGAACCCGAAGGGCCGGAGTTATACGAACCCGACAGGCCGAAGTTATTTTAATCATGAGCCCGAAGGTCCGAGGTTATACGAGCCCGAAGGGCCGGAATTATACGAACCCGTTCATTGTTAACTGATTTTAATACTTCGGCTTTTCGGATCGTAATCTTTGAAACAAAAAGACGCCATTTTATATCGACTGTCAAAAAAAACCAAGGCGTACTTTGATATTTCAATTTTTTGATGTTTGTTGTATTATGAGCAGCGTTGCCATATGTTTTTATGAAATCTCGATTTATAGGTTAGTTTAAACCCAATCATTGACATTTCTGAAAAATATTTCCTTTAAAATTCCCAAATATCCTTTGGAATCCCCAAAAATCTATTAAAATCTCAGAATTCCATAATTTAGTGGAATGTCGGTAGAATAATTATGTTATTCTGAAAAAGGAATTAGATGTGAAATTTTTGCGGAGTTTCCATAGAATTCACATTAAATTTTAATTCCTCTCGAATTACTTGAAATTTTAGTGAAATTCCGATCGAATTACACGAAATCCTAAATGAATTACATGGAGGAATTTTAAACAATTACATGAAATTACACCGAAATTCCCAACATGAAATTTCAGTTTTTACTGAATTTTAGTAATGCCGAGGCATTTCCAACTAAAAACATGGAATTTCGGTGATATTCCGAAAAATTACCATGTAATAACATGAAATTTCAATATATTTCGATGAATTTTTAAGAAATTACTTGAAACTTCATAAATATTCAATAGTACCTAATATAACTAGTGCAATGGAAATTATTGATAATTTTTGGGAAATTTGCCCGAATGCATTTTTAGTTGAAAAAGAGCACGAGTGCACATAGTGCACGAGTCAAACGTGACAATTTATTGTTGGAATACCAGTTTTGACAGATGCATGAAATTCTCCCAGAAATTCCTGGCTATTAAAAGAGAATTTCAGTGAAATTCCGAAATTTTTTTATGAAAATAAATTAAATTTTGAAAATTCCTTGAAGTTTCATTGGACTTTCGAGAAATTTTCGGTTATGAAAGTGGATATTCTCATAAAATTTTAGTGAATTCCGAGAAATTTTTAAGAAATTAGATGAAATGTCAATGAAATTCCAAAGAATTTTATGAAAATTTTGTGGAATTCCAGGATATTTCAGTGATAAAATTTTGAGGAATTTTAGTTGAGTTAAAAAAAAAAATATGGAATTTTGAAATTGAAATCCTAATGGAATTCCGAGGAATTTAATGAAATCCTTTACTGTAATTAGCCTCCTCACTTGAAATAGTCACGAGCCGCTACTGGACGTGATAATTGTTTTACAAATCACTATTTTTTGTCAAAGGGCATAGAGTCTTTAGAAGTTTCAATTTATCATTAAATCAGCTTAAATTATATAGGTACGCGAATCTTAAACAATAATAAACATCGGTCAACATTTTATGTTTTCTGCAAAAACTTTGGAAACACCTAGTTCCGTTGAAAATGTTTGTACCTATGTTTTTAGCTCCAGTCAACATGATTATACCTACTCTTGGTATCTTTCTAGCTTTTCGGCCAATCTCAGAATGGACTTGTTGATGTTGGTGAGAGCCATCACTGTTTTTATAGAGAATTGTCTCGATCGATTTATCAGAAATTGTGTATTGGTCCTCCTGACTTTCAGTTGGATTTCCTGGAGGCTAACGCGATTCCTGATTATAATAAAGAAGTTTGTGAAGTTCCACAATAATGCATTAACAAAAACTGCTTGTATGTAGCAAAAAAATGTAGATAATATTATTCAAAAAAATACTTGCTGTGTTGTTAAACTACAATAAAATTATCTGAAATAAAAGGCACGTAAAATATGACTGGGGAATAACCTTATAACTGAATGACTAATCTCCCAGCCAGTACTACGATAACTTCATGATAATGTTGGGATTTTTTCTCGTTTGCGATTTCATTGTTCGCACTAAGGTATTGCTTTGATGCAATGTTTCAAGAAATCAGTAAATAATTTCGAAACGGCTCGAGTTTTCTATTTGCAATAGCTTTTTCCCTGTTCTCAAGTGTTTTCGTGTTTTTCTTTTCTTATTTGATGATAAGGACGCACCGATTTGATAAAAGCTTGGAATAAGGGGGTGCTATATTTATTTGTTGTGGCTGGTGCGAATATAAGGTATTAGTAAAGTGTAGGTAATGATTACAATAAACAATGGTAAGATTAAAATTTTTAATTGATATATTTAATTATATATATGGGAAATTGCTATCAAATTGTACATTTTTCTTTCCAACCCTTTGTTCAAGCAAACACCAAAATTAAAGAAAAATAAATTCTTTCTGTAATAATTATTGAAGAGTACCTATATAAAGCATCCAGCGTTTGTACAGTATTTTTCTTATTTTTAGGATTTCTCATCAGGAAGAAGCTCAGATTCTAATAATGAAGCCAAAAAATCACATGAGAGCCTAAATAATATACCAGCTCTTACCCATACAGGGCCTCAAACGTATTTTAGTGACGAAATAATCCCAATTCCTGAATCCGATAACGTAAGTACTATGCAGAGTAGATACATTTCTGCTTGTAACTTCAAGTCAAACTTCTTATTTCAATTAACCAGTCTAATAAAAAGTGTGAGCAAGCTTTTTAGGCCAGATATTTCTCAAAAATCTCGAAACTCTTTTAACTAGAAAGCATTTCAACACCCACGTAAAACTTACTTATATACGCTAAGGCAATTTATTAAAATCCGCCATGTTTTCGACGCCGAAAGTCGTTTAGATGGAGCAATTTTTTTCGCTAGCAAGAAGTAATATATTTACGTCTGGATCCTGAACTTACTGGATGATTGCATAAAATTAAGTTTTTTTTTTTTTGTATAGACAAGTTTCAGCTTCAGGAAATTATGGGCGTTTTGCGGTCCAGGATTCCTAATGTCCATAGCCTTTTTGGACCCGGGAAATATAGAAAGCGATTTGCAATGTGGTACGATTGTAGCGTACAAACTCTTGTGGGTTTTGTTATGGGCTACAGTTTTGGGACTACTTATGCAAAGATTATCTGCCAGATTAGGTGAGATTATTGATTAGTAAACACATTTCATTTATTTATACATGTCATTAACTTGATTTTTTATCATCACTTAATCACTTTGATTTCAAGATATTTGTATAGGAAGTTTTTTATAAGGGAAGGGGACATCATTCAACTTATAACTGTTGTTTTATACCGGGTGGGGCACGAAAAACTTTCCACCCAGGTTTTCTCAGATGTTAGGTGTTTAATCAAAAATCGCTCAGACACACGTCAATTTTTGTTTTTTGGGGACACATTTTATCGGTATTTTCACCCCCTACCTGTGAACCCCTAAGTGGGGGTGAAAGGTACCCTCAAAATTTCAAATGGATAGAGTGGTCGAGCGATGTGTCATTTGGTAGCTATTTTCATTGAGATTATATCCCGAAGTTTTAAGTTGCTACTATTAACCCTGCCGAAATGGCGGCATGTCAAAGTTAGGATAAATGCTTTTTTTCGATAATCTAAGGGCGGGTATTATAAAACTGCTTTGAGAGTTAACTTAAAGTTAACTTCTGGAATTACATGTGATTCAAAAAATTAACTTCAAGTTAACTGTCAGAGCAGTTTTATAATACCCACCCTAAACTGTATAGTTTTTTACCTGTCACACCTATGCGTAGGCAACAAGTAGACACCACACAGCATTTTTCCATTGATTTTTCCTAACTTTGATAAGCCGCCATTTCGACAGGGTAAATAGTAGCAATTTGAAATTTCGGGGATATAATCTTAATGAAAATAGCTTTCAAATGACGTATCACTCGACCCCCCTTTTCTTTTAAAATTTTGTGGGTACCTGTCACCCCCACTTAGGGGTTCATAGGTAGGGGGTGAAAATACCAATAAAATATGTTCCCCAAAAAACAAAAATTGACGTGTCTGAGCGATTTTTGATTAAACACCTAACACCTAAGAAAACCTGGGTGGAAAGTTTTTCGTGCCCCACTCGGTATAACAAAACATAATTGAAGTAAACCATACACACTAGCTAAGTTTCAGCAATATCCTGAAATAAAACAAAAGATGTAAGTTTCAGGAACAGTTGAAGATAAATTTTAATGTATGGCGTGTCTCAGTAGGTATTTTTGTTCAGTTCTAGAGCTATTTCTCCTTCTCAATTACTGTTGAAGAGTTGATAAGTATAGGCGAACAAATCGACTTTCTCCTGTGGGTTGCAAATGGTACCTACATCTTCCCTTCCTCCATATGCATGCTTTTCTTCTTTTTCTGCCTCTTTGGAAATAGGCATATCCAAATTCTTGGCAGCGAACTCCATTTTGAGCCTCTTCCCTCCAATTTTATCCCGATATTATTTTGAAATCGTCGATCCATCTTATGTGTGGTCTACTTGTCGATCTGTGTCCCAGTCTTCGCATGTGGCTAAATTCACCAAAATGTTGTACCTACCGCCATGGATACGGTAATTGAAATTCAAACCAATGCCAAACCACAGCTTGCCAAACTCCGTTTAAGTGAACAACACTGCTTTTTCTACCATTCCACCACGGAGCCTATACACTAGCTGAATTTAGCCACACGCGGAACATGGTCTTTATTTTATTAGTAATTCTGAGTTCCATTTTTCCTGTCGCGATTGGTTGGTTGGTTGGTTGTCTTCCTCCAAATAAATTGTTTCTTCTGCGAGCCAGTGCTTTACAGTTGTGTATAATGTGTAAGGTATAGTTATTTAGGCACTTTATTATTTTTTTATTATTTAAATCCCTGTTTTAAGTACCTAAGTTAAGTGGTTCTTTTAATCCCCGGTATCAAATTTTACTTTATTTCCTAAGGGATTAAATTCCTTCAAAAACTGCTAGTTTATCAATTGAAACAGTTTTTCGTTTTCCATCAATGAGAAGGGTAAACTATTTTCTATATCTTTCATGAACTTTGTATGAACCACTTTAAGGGCATTCCAAAGATTTCTTGATTCTGTCTATTCTAGTAAATACATGTGAACAATCTACCAAATCTTTGTAGACGAAAACGCTATTCTTGCTATGATCTGTAGCACTATTGGGTTTGATGTTTTCCATAGCTCGTTGTTTTAACATGCATTGGGTACTGAGTATAGTAGGCTTTTGAAGGAACATTTCACCTGGAAGACGAAGGGTTGTGCCATAAACAAGTTCTGCACAAAAACAATCATATCTTCCTTTACAGTTGTCCTCAAGTCCAAAGCCCAACAAAATTCATGTAAAATTTCTGTCTATTTGAGAATTTCATAACATTTTATTGACTGCTACTTGAGTGATCCACTTTTTATTAGAGATCCTTCAGGATCAATTGTTTCCGTTTCCAGAATAAGTTTTTATTTTTGTGTGTTTCATTTTTATCTTTGTTGATTGGATTAATGACAGGTTCAATTAAACATCAATCAGAACTTCGAATAAATATGTTAAGGATATCCTTAACCATCGATAAAGAAACTGTCTTTTGATCTAATTAACAAAACATCAATTAATTTAAGCAAACATTAATGTCCCAAAGTCTAGAATAAACAAATTTGAACAGACCTAGTGTAATGCGAACAGGGCGCCATCTATCATAAAAATGCCTTGAAGCCCTATGTAAAGTAGGTGTCTGTAGCGTCGATGCAAAACCAGTAAATAGTGAGTTTCCAATATGGTAGATGGCGCTGGCTTGGCTCATTTTTGTTGACAACAAAATTTACACTGAGATTCCATTCTCGACAGTTTATATAGTATTTATCTCTGGTTTTTACTATGAAAATCATGGTTGTTTTCGTCACCCTTATGAACATTCATATGGAAAAACCCTATACATGATGGGGCACGAAAAACTTCCTACTCAGGTGATTCCTGACTCAGGTGATTATTATGTATTATTAGCAATGAAGTAGAAAGAAGGTATGGAATGAGCTTTGCGTCATTTAATTGATTCCAGAATGAGATAGTGCTAGTAAGAGCAAGAAAGCTATTGGATCTCCCATATCTCTCACTCTAACCCTGAGTGATATAGCGCTAGTAAGGGCAAGAAAATCTCATGGATCTCTCCTGTTCTCTCACTCTAATGTTGGCTGCAAATATATGTATTGAGTAGATAGGCAATTCCAACCTTCTTACTACTTCATTGATTAATAGGCCTGTTCCAACAGGTTAGGCAGCATCGCGACTGTGACGGTACATTATACGGTTTCCTGCTGTGTTGGATCCTGAATCCTGGATGTTCATTTTATTTGTCTGCTATTCAAAGGTATCGACACAAGCTGATATGAAGGATAGTAAATAGCTTGGATCCATACACCATTTATGTAGAGAGACTTTTTGATTTTTTAATATGGATTTCGTAAGTTTTTTTCTCTTTTGCTACAATCCATGAAGCCCTCACAAAGTACAGACAAATCATTTTCCTCCGTTAAAAACCTGTGTTTTGTCTCTGCAGGAACGGCATGTAACTAGACTTTCTCGCGATTAGAACGGCTCCCACAACTAAGTACAATACATAACGTATGCATTTTCCAAAAAATCAACACTTTACAGACTTTATACGAATCAAAAATCATAATAAAACGATATTTTTTTAAATAAAAAGGCATTGGCCTCCATTTTGAATTCCATTTTGACAGGTCGTTGGATTGCCCTATTTGATTGAGGTTAGGTATAGTTGTCTATGGCCCTGTTCGGGTTTGAAAAAAGGACGGTTCTTGAATTATTCAAAACATGGAGGTGCAGAACCATTGGCTTTTTAGACAAAGGTATTTTAGTATTGCTCTGGTAACTAACCAAAGGAGACACCTATGTTTCTATAGCAGATAGGTTCAACATGGGAGTTTCTACTGTCCATGGCATTGTAGTTATATTTAACTTTAACACACAACTTTTTATTTGAGTTTACACTTGTCAAAATTTTCCTGCTCTCCGTAGTTTACAAACTTTCTATTTTTTTTTTGTTCTAACCGTTCAACTTAACCATATCGCCGAGCTGGTTAGAGAAATGACATTTCGTTTCCTAATCCGGTTACAAAGTGACGTCATCGTTACCACTCGAATTTGAGAAGTATGTTGCGGTTTGTTGGACCGGAGCCACGTGACAAGGGCTATTGAGTTTGAAGTTTTTGACAAAACTTGAACTAAAAGTCAAAATTTGAAGCTTAATTGCTCAGAAACTATTTGAGTTATCAAACTCAATTTCACACAGATTTATAGAAAATTTAATGCTTTTTCCAGTGGTATATAATTTATTTTCATTTGCTCGAAATTTAACAAAGATATGACAAATTGTTTATGACCATGTCAAGATTTTGGAAATTTTCCAAAAATAGAATTTCCTTTTTAACTTTGTTTCTCTTTAAAAATGGCCATTTGGAAATGATTTCAGAGTTGTTTTTCACTAATTTTGATCCGTTCTATCGACTATTGAAGTGAAAATTGAACAAATCTGGAAAATAAAGAAACCGAGTCTTCATAAGAGGATACCCCTTTGAATTCTAATTTCAAAATATTCAAACCTCAATTGCTCGTTAACCGTTGAGCAAAGTGCATTGAAATTTTCAGCATTTGTAGCTCTTATTAAGCTCTGAATGGCCTGTAATTTACAATATCCCCAGATTTATATAGTTTTCGAAAGAAACGTCTGGAACTAACGAGGGGAAAGAGCTTGGCAGAGAAACCCTCGATCTAACATTCCTCAAAAATCGAAACATACTGTGTCATTTCAATAATAATTGTGAGTCATTAATTCAATAAAAGTTCAAATTAGGTACCGCCCCTGTTCTTGTGCTATAATTCCAATTACACACACTACATTCAATCAACACTACCTTACTACCTATAATCAATACTGAAGAGTTTTTTGTTAGTTAGCCCATCTGCGGCAGGTACTGAGGTCCCTGGTTACGTAAACTCACAGCTATAGTTATTATTTGAGCCAATATCTCTAGATTGATTATTTCATTTGTTAGGATATTCTCTCGTCAGTGTAGAAAAATGTTAGTAAATTCAACAAGGCCTTAATGCACGCTCTAAATCCAAAAATCAAAATCCCAGCACAATTGAATAATGAATAATTACAGACACGCGTCTTAAAGGAACCAGCCCAGCTTGTTCTCTAGTCTAGTTGCGTATCCTCTATCTCCCGTTCGCTTCGGTAGAGTCCGCGTCAGCAGTTAAGAGTACGGTGACGACACGGGAAACTGCGCGAAGCGGGTCGGTTCTCTCTCCCTCGTCTATCTCTCGCTGTCTGCCGTGACCTCGGCCGTGAGCTGAAATCAGCAGCGGGATATCTTTTTAGACAAAACTTGGATAGAAAATAAACTAAATAAATATGCCTGCATTGCTTGCTGGCCGTACGACAATGAACCACGTAGTGGGCGTTCGGCAGCAGCACCGAACAATACGATAGTTCGGTTAGTCTTCAAAATTGGGTTTGTGCGCATTTGACGTCACCGTATTCTTTACTTTTGACGCGGACTCTACCTACCTTTTCTGTTGCAACGCGCTCTCGTTCTCATCAATTCCACAGAGTAATACATAGTTGCAACATTTACTTTTATTCAGTAAACGGTTTTTAAAAAGTTAAGATTTGAAGAAATAATATTTTAAATAGGTGGTTTTCCTCAATACATAATTTATTTCAATTTGCTTGAAATTTAACAAAGATATGGGTTTGATGGGTTTATGATTTATTTTGAAGTGAAAACTTCTTAGGCGCCGGTTTGACAATTGAACGAGAATGGAGATTGATTTGAAAGACACAAATAAAGTCAAGGCTGAAAGTATTAACAATCTCAGACATGATTCGATTGTGGCACAGTTGGTTTATGATCCAGCCAGCAATAGCCATCAAACTGGCAGAAACGATTAAAAACATTATTTTATATCCGTTCCACCGCCGTCTCTACAACAATACAACAAACAAAACGTCTAAGTAATTTTTAGGTAATCTTTTGTAATCAAAAAGTACCATTTTATGCCTTAAACTATTAAAAGTGAGAACGATAAAGTTTATTCTGAAGTCGAAACTTAAGCAGTTGTGCGGTTTATTGTTTAGAACCAAATAAAACTGATTATAGCTTTAGTCGGGAGCCTAAAGCTGGATTTAAGAAAGATAAAGGATAAGAATGAAAAATTTATGTCTAAGGTCACGAATGTCGTCGCAAAGTTCTATTTTTGAATTTCAGGAGTTGTAACTGGACTTCACATGGCAGAATTGTGCTACAGGCAATACAAAAAAGTTCCAAGAATTTTACTATGGCTGATGATGGAAGTTGCTATTATCGGCAGCGATATGCAAGAGGTTATAGGAACTGCCATAGCAATTTATTTATTGTCAAATAAAAGGTAGGTAGTTAATATAAATGATCTGAGTTTGCCCATGATTTTGGTCAACTTTTTTAGGGTTCCACTCTACGCCGGAGTTCTTATAACAATCTTAGACACTTTTACATTTCTATTTATCGATAATTATGGTTTAAGAAAGCTGGAAGCATTTTTTGTACTTTTAATCAGTATTATGACAGTTACTTTCGGATATGAATATGGCGCGTCAAAGCCTGACCAAGTAGAAGTTGTAAAAGGTTTATTTTACCCTTGGTGTGAAAACTGTGACAACAGAGCTGTCCTACAGGCGGTTGGAATAATTGGTGCTATAATTATGCCGCACAATTTTTACCTCCATTCGGCTTTGGTGAAATCCAGAGAAATTGATAGGACTAAAAGTGAAAAAGTACGAGAAGCAAATCTGTATTATTTTGTCGAATGTTGTATTGCCATTTTTGTTAGTTTATTTATTAATATTTTTGTCTTGGCTGTATTTGCTCACGGATTGTACAATAAGACCAACGAGGAAGTGGTAAGTTTATCTTTAATTTTTCATAAGTTCATTAACTAGAGTTATTTTAGTATGAAACTTGCTTGCAATATCCTTCAATCGACGCCTCAGTTTTTCCTCACACTGGTCCCGAAGCTAAAGAACTAGTAGATTCAGATATGTACAATGGAGGTATTTTCTTAGGATGTACTTACGGTTTGGCTGCTATGTATATTTGGGCTGTGGGGTTATTGGCAGCTGGACAAAGTTCTACTATGACAGGTAAGAAAAGTTAAAATGCAACAGTTTCATACTAATTTCAAACATTCACAATTATGATTATAAACCTCTCTTCAGGTACATATGCCGGTCAATTTGTAATGGAAGGATTCCTAAACCTAAAATGGCCGAAATGGAAGCGTGTTTTGTTTACCAGAAGTGTTGCCATTATTCCTACATTTTGTGTAGCATTTTTCGCTACTATAGATAAATTAACCAACTTTAATGATGTATTAAATGCACTTATGAGTGTTCAACTGCCATTTGCCACGATACCTTTGATTGCTTTTACTAGCAGTACTAAAATAATGGGAGAATTCACGAATGGATTGTAAGTATCAACATACATGCTATTCTAATTTGAAATTATTAAAAACGCTATTTTTTTTTTTTAAGATGGAACAAAATCATGTCAATTTCAGTTAGCCTGTTTATAATAGCAATTAACACTTACCTAGTTGTGGATACAATAATTGATAATCATTTACATTGGTCTATACTTGCTACTATAGGTATAGTTGGTGTATTTTATTTTATATTTTGTATATATTTAATATTGCACATGATTATTTGTATGGGAAATAAAACTTTGTTGAGATTCGAATTTGTTAAAAAGTATATTGTTGGTCCAGTGGATTCGGATTATAGCATTGAAGGCAATTGAAGAATCTGTTTTATTTTATTTTTTTGTAAATAGTTTACTTATTAGTGCATTAGAATATAAGTACCTATACATTTTGACTAATTATTAAGCATCAATTAAAGGAAAATTTTGTCTAACAATTTGTTCCCAATTTTATTATATTGTTTCAAATTTAGGAAATTATATGACTGCAACTGAAAACTTAATTATAACAATTTAAACTGACAGGGAACAAGACAAAATAAATAAGACTGATGATAATTGAATGGTGAATGTATTGTATATTGTAGTTGTGTTTATATTTGATTACATTTTTCTATGGAAATAAATCTTAATTGTAGAATTCATCTTGTTTTTATAATTTGTATTCAAATCCTACGAGATAAAATAAAACTTTGCAAAGGCAAATCAAAAAGAATAATCTAAAATTTCCAGAGAAACAAATATAAAAAGCAGTTATAAATGAGATGAGGAAAGACCTATTATGTGAACTAATAACTTATTCAGAAATAATGAGCTGTTGTGATGCGAAATGTTTCAAATAGGGGGTCAAAATTTGCATAAGAAAAGCATTGAAAAGAAAGTAAAGTAAGCTAACTCTTATTATCGCATCATTATTTCAGCTTTTCTTTTACCCTTGTCGCGATTTCTATGCCACCTAAGCAAATCCCAAACCTCTTCAAATAATAAAATATTTCAATTTGATAGCTTTGATACGTGTTCCTTATTTTCCAGGTTTCAAAACTGGATCAATGGCCGACATCGTTCGTGCAATGCACCTTTCATTCAACTTTTTTTGCATTCTATCGGCCTCGAAATTCAAAATAGGAAAATAAAATAAATGTTTGAAACATCATCCCCCGCAGCCAAGACGCAGATTCCCCATATAATTCCGGTTCGCATTTCAAAACCAAAACATTCCACTCTCCCCTTTCTTATATATAAAAAGAAAACAGGAGCACCAGGATATTGACTTTGAGTTTAAAACTGCCAATACTTGAATATTGTTCCAGAGAGTTTTCAAAGACAAATAATAGATAGGGCACCAAAATGAGTGTTTCAACTTTCTAGAGTAAATAATCGATTCGAAGAATCTTGTCTTAATATTTCGAGTTGCCCTAGAAACCTAGTTTTTTGGATCAATTTTCGTTAAGAAATAAAGAAAAATTTCAAGTAAAAAATATTAACAATTCAAATGCTATTTTATATTTGCAAGTATAATTAATCATGATTTAATTATTAGAAGTTTACAGAGCTGACTGAAAACTGAAGGTTCATTTAACTTGGTAGACACACAAGGGTACATCCATATAACGACCCTGGCCCTTTATTTTATAATTTGACCCAAACAAAATTATTGTCTGCGAAAAAAAACATAAAAACTTATGAAACTTTGATTGAAGAGTCTGGTTTTTTGTTTTCTGTATGTTAAACTAAAAATATTCCATCATAAATGTACAAAACCCGTATATTGGGACATAATAAAAAATCCATCTGGCATTAAAATTAATCAGTGACAAGTATCGCATAATAAAACATTTAATATTGTTGTTTAAATCAATTGGAGATTAACACTTTTTCAAATGCTTACATGAAATTGCTGTGACGTAGTTTTTTATGATATTTCAGGAGGGAATTTAATAGATACAAATGGGTTTTTTCAATAAACCAAATCAATAAATCTATAATTGTCAAGTAATAAAATATGTAGTTTACTTTTTGCATTTACATATAAATCACGTACCTACAGAGTGTCCCAACTGGTCAAAAATGCTAGAGGAACTATAGAGAAGTAGTTTGAGATAGAACACCGATGGTGGGAAGTGTGTCGTTTCCAAAATACAGGGTGTTGAAATTTAAACAACCCTTTTTCATATCATCACCCCATTTTTGGACGATACAAACTTTATAGAGTTCCGTTTGGCTTGAGTAGTACACCGGAAATTTTTCAAAGAAAAAACATGGAAATTTTTGGTGATAATACAAATGTGAATATATGTCATGTAAAGCCAATTACCTCTGTGTTTGGATCACTGGTATATTGCAACATCTTTTAACTTAATTTCTAACACTCCAGCCATACATCCAAGACCTTCAAAAATATCTTAAATTTTTTTTATATATTTCTTCTTTAGATTTCGGTAACAGTTTAGAATCGTTTAGCAACTTAGTTTGAAGTAAATTTATACGTGATATCAAATCACCTAACCCAAGTAAAGACTCTGAATCTAATCTAAATCAACAATCAAAAATTTTACGTTTTTAAACTGATTTTTTATACCTGCATTTAAGTGTAATGTAACCTAACGGTTAAGATTTGAAATTGCCATAAGAAATAACTGTCATGGTTGTTGGAATAATTTTGAATTTATCAATATTTAAATCACCGAAATATTTTAAAGGTAAAACGCTAGAGATTCAGCTCCTGTATTAAGCTTGAACTGAATGTCAATATCATTAATGGTAATAGATTCATACCAACTACTATTTTGGATATTTTGTTTCTGTTCATAAATAAAAATAGAACTTTCAGTACCTGTAATTTCATTACTTACTATATTATATCAGAATTTTGAATATTCACATTGTTCAAAACCAGTAGAACCTACCTATGGATGCATATTTATATACCACATTATACACAAGAGATGATCCACCATATTATAAATTTTCAAACTGTTCCTCTCCGATGCATGAAAGTTTTATTAAATTCAATTTATACTTTTAAACTGTTTGTTCCGTTTTTCCGAGAAAAATCTGAAAGTTTTAGATTGACTTTGACTGAAGCTGACTGGAGTAAGTAATTTTCTCTGACTATTTTCAAACAAATCAAAATTCGCTGACTGATATCATATTTATTCAACCTGAATCTAAATAATTAACATTTACAGGATTTTGCTGTGCTCAAAATCAAACCGCTTCCATCATTACAGGAAATCTTATGGTACCGCAGAATACATTAAAACTTTTACGATTTTTCCAGCAAACAGGAAATATTTTTATCAGCTCTTGATTAGGACAAATAAGTTTTTAATGAAAAAACATCATCATATATTTTTCTGTTATTTACATTCCTTGAAATTAATAAGGAAAATGTTTTACCCTCATCATTTTTTAAAATAATCGGACAAGACAAAGAGGGGCTTCTCTTGTTGACCTATTTTAATGTCCTATGTTATTTATGTATTACATGTCAAATGTTTCAAACAGGGTCAGCTTTTAAACTAAAGGTATTGCATTGGCTTTCCATTGCAGGCACAATCTCTTGTCAAACTTAACTGAAACTGTTACAAACTCTAGAAACTGAAACCATCGGCTGTTTTCCAAAAGTTAATAATGCGACAAAATTAAACCGGTATTAATTTCAAATTATTTTCTTGTTATTTTGTACCCTTTAAGTTTGACTTGCAATCAAATAAGGTATGTTGAGTTTTATGCATGTATGAAAGTGTAGTTTTATAGTTTCACGTTATAGTCCCCAGTACATCGACCTTAAAATTTTGTAACTCATGTACACGCCCAACTTCCTGAGCGGCTTCATAACACCAAGTCGGACAATATTTTTCATGTCTCCACCCTGGGCGATGGGACATTGCTGCGCTAGCTCTTCGTGAAGTTGTCGTTCTGACGTCCCTAAGGAAGTTGATACATGTACGTGTGGTTTCAATGCCAATCGACTGTTTTTTACATTACATTAACGATATCACATTTGTCAGACAAAAACCATGTGGCTTTGGGGAAGGTCCGACACCCTCAACATGTCGCTGTGGCGTCCCTGAGGAAGTTGATACATGTATCAATACATATATCAATCAGCCTACAACATCACAACAATCGTTTCTAGATGTAATTTGCCACTTGTCAACGTTTTACATTCACAATTGACCTTTTGTTTGGACGCCATATTGCGGTGCGCGAACATAGTTGTCAAAAGAAGTAAACAAAAATTACTAGCGGGCTGTCAACATTAAAAACAAAAGTAACTAAATGATTGATCCTTGCTATCCTTTTTGTTTGTTTACTTTCTCTCTCTGAAATTGATGGCTTTTCTTTTCAAAAGCATTCATAATAGGCGGCAAATTCAAATTTTAAATCTAATTTATTCAGTAACTTTTGTTTTTAATGTTGACAGTACGCTAGTCAATTTTTTTTTCCTACTTTTGGCCACTATGTTCGCGCACCGCAATATGGCGTCCAAACAAAAGGTCAATTACAAATGCTCCAAAATTACCGTTAAAATGTGGCAACGTTGCTATTGTAGGCCTCAATCTGAATCACAAGGCTGTCAATTGACAAAAAAAGTCATAATAATCGTAGGTGGTCCTGAAAATTAACTCGTCCAAAGTCATAATATTGTTTTTCTATTTTGGTGTCATATCGAAGTCTTTTCGACACTAAAAGTAGTTTCGAAAAGAAGCTCTTTGTGACACTCCTTTTTTACTTATCGGAGGTTAGTAACACTGGCTGACTGATGGCCATCGAACTGTCATTCGCTATTTTATAATAGAAGATTTCTATATTTGGCATGTAGCGTTACCAACCTAAACATATGAAATCAGGAAATATGAGAATAAAATTTCCAAAAAAAATTTGTTTTCTTAAATTAAGCAATACCAAAATAGAAAAAATAGTATACAATATTCGTTTCATAAGACATTTTATCGCACTCGCCCTTTAGAAAACTCGCCTCCGGTTCGTTTTCTAATATAGGGCCCGTGCGATAAAATGACGTCTTATGAAACTTGTATTTTAATGTACTAATGTAGGCTTGTCAGTTGTCAAAAAAAAAATATGAGTAATTATTCCAAGTGTTTGAACCGAGAACAATCGAAAATTTACTCTGATGCAGTGTTGTCGAAAGTCAAAATACTAAATCGGGAGAAACTGGCGTTAAAAATCGGTAGATTACTGCGCAAAATCGGTAGGTATAACATAAAGACTAAAATCTAGCGTTGCCGTGTTTTGCACGATTTAATAAATATTACATTATAACGGCCATTATCGGAAAATCAAATATACTTCATTTAAGAATTAAAATACAAACCTCGATAGTCGATACAAACATAATAAACATTAAGTTGAGCTGATCCATTCATGCGCGTCACTAATTAAAGTCTATTTTTTTTTAAAGATAAAAGTCAAAATGACATTATGTTGGCAATACAATGTAAAATTGTCAATGCTTTCAAATTTTTTATGTAGAAAAGGCTTGTGTTGCCAACAAAGTTACTAAATTTTTGACTTGGAGAATTACCTTAAAAAAAAAAACACACTTTAGAGATTTTTTTTCTGACGGAATGTTTTGAAACGTTTTAAAACCTTCATTTTGGTGTTGCAACGGTCACGTGC